AGGTGAGCAGGCCGAAGGAGGGAACCAGAGGAGGGTTCAGAGGCAGACGGCAGGTTGAGGACTGAGGCTTGAGGTGAGCAGGCCGAAGGAGGGAACCAGAGGAGGGTTCAGAGGCAGACTGCAGGCTGAGAGTTGCGGCTTGGTTCTCCAGGGTTCTGCTGAGGTCAGACAGACAGATCTTCAACAGCAAACTCCTCATGGGGGTCTTTGGTTGCTGGCAGGTTTGACCTGAGAAACAGAGAAGACAAGGGTTCAGGTCTGGTGGTCAGTAGACAGGACTGACTAGTTGGCTCAGGGTTTGGTGTACCATGATTGACTACACTCTGGCACTGGAGTGTGGTCCTCAGCCCACTTAAATACTGGTCTCCTGATGAGCAGATGGAGAACAGCTGGTGAAGTCAGCTCCAGCCTCAGGAGATCCAGTACGCCCTCTGGTGGAGACAGAAAACCCCCAGATCCCAACAGTAACAGAAAATCCCCAGGAAGGGATCCTCGGCGCCCTCTGGTGGGCAAGCCTCAGGATCCCAACAATATAACACATAATCTAGTTCTGAAAAGAACAGGAATTCTGTACTTATCATGTTTAATGTTAGTATATTCATGTGCATAATTGTTGTCAAGAAACTGTTAATGAATGAAAAATTTAAATTTTTTAAATATTGTGAGTATTACTGTGCCACTGTGTGTATTCTAGGGAAAAAATGGTAGGAGCGGCCACAGATTGGCTAAGGGTGGCCACGGCCACCCCTGGCCCCCCATCTAGCTCCACCCCTGCGGATCTGACTAAACTAAACTAACTGAAATGACTGAAGTTAGCCGCCTCATTATTATGTAACTTATTGATGGACTAAACAAAATAAATCACATAGAAAGCAAACTTTCCTTTGGAGTCCTCTGTACTATATTGATGAAATGTCTCACAGTTAGTTCTGTTATATCTATTAACAAAAGCCTGCATAATTAATCTAATTTACTCATTGTAATAAGCCAACCAACAATCAACTAGCTTATTATTAAGTCATAAATATGCAGCCAAGCATAGCCTTATATTACATACATATATTTCGTTTTAATTAAATAAATAAATATGCCACTGAATGTTTAAGTATGTATCTATGCATATTTGAATAAATAGAGAAGAACTGGAAGGGTAGAGACGGCATGTAAGGGTGTTTTTATTTTATTAGACTCAGATCCAATCACCTGTCCTGTCACCGGTGACAGAAGGCCGTTTTCCCATCATGCACCGTGCATTGCAGCCTCTTCAGCTGCTGTTGATCAACGGCAGCGGCTGCCTCAGGTGGCTGAGCTCGTTCTTATCTCTTGAGGTTTCAGTTGCTCATCTGTTGCAGACATCAAAGGTAGTTGGTCAGATAACGATCTGTTCAGATTATTACTAGGTATATAACAGAAAACCAAACCTAGAAGACAGCAAGCCAATCTTCTTAACTAACTAACTAACTAACTAACTAACTAACTAACTAACTAACTAACTAACTAACTAACTAACTTGTCACGTTTTGGTTGTGGTTTGGAGGACCCAAATGCAGAGGCAGAGAGGCTGAGGTGAATACTTGTAGTTTTAATGATGAAAATGGTTAACA